AGGAAAAGCAAGGCAGACTTTCACTAATCTGAAATCGGTGTTAAGTTCTACAGCGTCCAGCATAAAGCGTGAAATAGATCCGGATTTTCAACACCAACGTCAAGTCAGTGCTTCTATATGGTTCAGAAACGGGAAGCATTTCCAACAAAGTACAGGTATTCATCAACAGTTCCCTACACTCACTCAATACTGGGGAAGGATATAAGGTGGCCAGAAGAGTAAGACTTAGCAACAAAAATCTCTGGCTTGGCAACCAACCAACCAATCAAGAACCCACTGCCCAACAAGTATGCAGTAGAAAGTGGAGAAGACCGACTGAGGACATCACTCTCCAGGCCAGGCACTCGAGTGGAATCCGAAGGGGAAATGAGGAGTTGGGCGTCCCAGCTGAGGGTAACGTGGAGGAGATCGTGCGAGGAGGAAAGAAGAGGTTGTGGGCTGTCGTGGAGCGAGGTTGAAAAGACTGCAGAGAGGAGAGTGGAATGGAAACGTGCTACTGAAGTCCTATGTTCCACTTGGAACCTATGTGACAAATAATAATAAATAATAAACTGACCAAAGTGACTAAAGAAGTCTATCGTCCTGAAGCATATGACAATTCATGAAGTTGAGTAATAACCTGATGGTTTCGCCAGTGTAAATATATAACCACTTATTCAATCTCAATTATTCCCATACCTTTTTGAGTTGCTCTTCGTAGTAAATATTACAAACTACAGTATGATGCTGTAGTAATAAACTAGAAAGTGTTCTAAGCTTCATATTTCATCAGCCGAAAATCAGATCTTAAATTTCTTTCATCCAATATGCAATTATTTTGTTTGTTGATGACTTGTGAACTCTTATTTTAAATGCTTAATTTACGGTTACGATATTATAGTTTTTCAAAACTTTGAATCATCTGTGTTAGCACTGCCGTTTTTTGCTACTCAGTAATTGGCTGGATTTGAAGAATAGAATATAATGGCATCACTTAGCTGGTGCTAAGAACTGCAATAATCTTCTAGACAATGGAAATAATGAGAAAAGTGAGGAGTTAGACAAGGTGAAAATTGTTGGTAGATGTGAAATGAAAAGACTGAGTGTCCACTTGATAGTAATAAAGAAGGTGTAGAAAGAAACACAGGTCAAAATGAAGGTGATACTAGTAAAGTAACCACCTATAATGAGATCGGAAAAGATTGTGAAAGTGTTCATACCATGGTGAGATAGAAGATTGAACATAATTCTTCTACACGCAGAGATCAGGCTTGAATCGATGAAATGTCGGTGCTTCTGATGTACACAACTGTCGAAAGCGTACTCCTTTTGAACCATGTCCTATGAATCTGTAAATGGCACTGAAGAAAGACTCTGGTGGAGCTATATGTCCAGAGTTGACCACATATTCAAGAAGTGAACTGGTAACTGATTCACATTCTCCTCTTGACAATTATGCATGCTAGTGCTCAGAGATGCGTTTAGAAAGTGCACGCAAATATGACTGGCTCGACATGAGTAGTTGAATTTCAGACACATATTGAGATGGCCCGAAGTACAACTTATCCTTAACACACCTCGGATCCAGTTGTTGACTAGAGAGGCTGATATGTAACTTAGCAAAGAAGAACGTCTTCTTTTGAATTAGAATTTTGCAATCTAATGATCACAATCAGAATGTTGCCTAGTTATTTGAAAGTGTAGTGTAGTGAATATGACAAGTATACTGTAGTTTGCAACAAGTACAGAGGGTCACTATATCGTTTAATGTCATCCAACAGCCAGACAATTTTATGCCTTTACAAATTTACTGTATTTCTATATTGTACGGTTGCTGGACTGAATTAATAAAACATAAATTCTGAATAACTAGATGACTATTTATGCAAACTATGTCTAACACCGCAATTTTTGCTATCATTTAAAGTGACCTAGTCTAGGAATAAAACATATCAAAAGAACAGGAAGTGTGCATTAGTACATGTAATCTTCGCAGTCTACACGCTGAGTAGAAACTGCACAATATGCCTCTCAGACTCCTTATTCACTATAATTATACCTGTGGATGTCTTCAACTAACCAATTTTGCTTTGTGACACTGATTATGAACTGAGTGTATAATTAATACATATGAGCTTCCAGTTTATCTTTCTTCAAATTACTGTGAAAAGCATTAAAAACTTTTGAGGAAAAGAAATTCATTACATAAAGATAACTAAGTGAAGACATTTGATAAAAACCAAGGAGATAATGTCGATTACATTGTCATTTTGAAATAACCACGGATAAACTGAAATATAGTTTGTAATCCAGTGAGTAAACACACGAAAACAATACCTACCCAAACATTCCGAAACTTTCTTAGTGACGTTATATATTATTAACAGTGAAAATGTGATAAATCTCAAAAGCTTTATAACTCCTAGTTAATTTTCGTGCGAACCATTGTCTACTATTTGAAATTTTTATAATATAATTGACAAGCCTTGCTCTGTCATTTTCTATTACAATACATGTTAAATCTCTGTGATACCTCTCTAAGCCTTAGTCCTATTTTCCACTGGATTTCGACATGGATATTTATTTTTATGTTATTTCTATATTATTTTTGTGACTATTTTTCCGAACCTAACTCTGATTATAAACTGAGATTGTCTCTGAATTACATTTAATGGTTATTTTCAGTTGCGCACCCTGAAAAAAGTGAGAAATGAAATCGACACTAATAAATTCTGCCTGGCCGTGGATACTTTTTTGAATTACTGTGAGATGAACAATTTCATCCGGACAAGAGTAAATTTTCAATCTTGTTTATGCAGTGGAATTATCTTTATACATTGTCTTTAATTGCAAATGTGACATTTAGACGCATGCAAATATTAGACTATGTTAGGTCTTCGATTTTGCTTTAATAGATCTGAAGACAAAAAAAGACAACCCTATTATTTTACAGATTTCAAGTCAACACCCTTATTCAGAAGTTGGCTTATTTCAAGTATTTTTATCTAATTTCCACTTTCTGAGGTTATGCTAGTGAAACACTTAATCAGGTTATAGTACTTCTTAACTTACTTTTTTTCATTTATACTTACTGTATATTTTAGTTTAAGTAGACTGCATTCAGATTTTTTAAAATTTCTAATCATTTTTAATGAGGTTTTGATACAGATTTGCGAAGAGAGATAAAAGAAACTTTCGATCGATTAAAATGGACCCGTATAATAAAGTTGTGGATGTGAACTATAAATGTGTTTCAAGAAATACAACTTGTTTGTCAATGTGAAATAAACTAAACGGAAAACATTCGCTGCAAACCAGATGCCGCGTAGTGTAGTAATATCGGTCTTGGATTAACTCCAGCTAAACTTTGTTATTATGTTGAATTTATCCGTAAGTAAGTATGATCATTCAGAAATAATTTCAAGGGATTTACAAACAATTTTACATGTTAGTGGAATTTCGATGTTGACAGTGAAACATAATAACCATGATATAGTTTAAGTTTTCCGAATGCATTTCTGCCTTAAGAAATGAAAGACTATTCTTTAAAATGCATTTGATTAAGATATATATTGTTGCTTCTACAAATTAGCTTCATCGGCTGTTCCATGCGTCCTTAATACTATTTTATCTAAGGAGAGGTGCAACAAAGTGTAGATGCATCATTATTAGTCCCTATATCCCAAACTTATTTTTGACCTTTACTGTTCATTTTGAGCCTAAGTACTGCTGATGTTTTAGACATTCAGGTTTAATATGCTTGTCCGTATCAGTCTTCCGCAATTTCCAAATAAACACATGAATAAAATTTCATCATACAACTTGTAGTGTAGTTTTTCATTTCCTCACTTTATCATCAGTTGCATTTATTGTCTTGACTCTTCAATATCCCCTACTGGAAGGACATAACACCAAAAACACAATGAAAGAACCAATCTCCATATAGTTTGTTCTCAGTTTTTATATTCGTATAATGTTTTATATGAAGTTAAACCCTTAAGGTGAAATTTCAAAAGTGGGTAAGTTAAATTAAAAATCTTTGATATTGGCAACTTGACTTAACACGAAAGTTCAGTTTAAAACCACTGGGAACTCTGGATAACAGGACACAAAATACTCAGAGTAGTTTTTATGGTGAAAAGATTTAAAAAACAAGTCTGAATTACAAGTCAAGATGGCTATTTCTTTTAATTATAAACATCTCACATACTTATCAGGATTAAAAGCGAAAGTCTTCAGCACCTTCAATTTTTATCAACCGTTAAAAGGATGAGTTTGTTGTTTTACAATAAATAATATTCCTTAGTGATAAATAACTTTTTGCAAATGTTCTGCTTACTCGGACCATTTGTTTTCCATTTAAAAGTACAGAAGATGGAAGCTTGAATATCACACTGTTAACTACATATTTAAGGGAACTAATATCGAGATGCCCATGCAACTAGCAACTTAACTTTATTATGTTGAAATATAAATGGACGCATCATTCACATCCCACAAAAATAAATAAAAACCATCAGCTGTCACTATTTTTTATAGAGATCATTATGAGAATCAACCAAGTTGAACCCAGTATAATTCTATTCCTAATCGTCTCATTGTTTGCTAACCATGAAATTTACACTGGACTTATAATAAAGGTTAGGAAATTGTATTGTATTACCGCTCAAACGCACAAATAAAAGCTGTGGCATACAGTTTGATTTGCAGTTACACTGATAAGTATAAAATATGCCCATCTGTGAACAATTTCCATGTATACAGCACGACTGTGAACGAGAACATTGGAAAATTCAGAGGGATCACTGAAAAAGGGTTGTGATTACTTTACTTAAATCACAAAGTTGTGTCCTTCAAATTAGATGGGAAAAGATACTCAAACAGACGATGCTATGGAACTCACCTTAGTGTAAAACACTGAGGATGTGGAATACTGGTGCACCAGGTGGTTAGTGAAGTGTTTGAGGATGATAAACCCATATTTATTTATGAACTGTTTTCCTTCGTTGTTTTTACTTTAGTCATCTAAGCCCTGAAGAACTTCTTGAAAGTCCAGATGTCAAAATTCATGCCGCTAAAGTAATGAGAGTGATACATAAGGCCGTAGAAGCGTTGGACGGTGACAGTAAGTCTCTTTATGAAGAGTTGGCTCTGCTCGGTGCAAGGCATGCAGCCATATCCGACATGAAGATAGAGTATTTCAAAGTTAGTTTAATATTTATTTGGTCATTCAATGGTCATTTTACTATACGTTTGCACTCTCCAACTACTTACAGAATCATTTAATGTATGAAGCCGTACAAATTTTTTATCAGAATCAGCCGTTATCAAGTATTGTGGAAATCCGAATCTTTATTTATGAATTATAAAGTCTGGAATGGTTCGCAAAATTAATTCTGTTGTAAAGATAACTATTTCGCTGTATAACAAAAAAAGTAGAGAAAAAGTGATGACTGTTCGAAAACTAACCTGCATTAAAATTAACAGAGTATTTGTTTAGAATATCAGGTTTCCAAAGGAATGGCAATCAGTATCTTGCTACCTCAATAGTTATGTTCATAGAATACTGTTGATACGGTATTTTAGCTTGGATAGGGGATTTGACATAGCGTTATGCTGCGTTTGGAAGTAGTCGATACAAGATCTGAATTGAGGTCTGCTTTTCGCCCATCTACAAGCTGTTTGAAGAGGTTCGTAAACTATTGTTTCATCCTTTAGCGCCACAATCATTGATAAGTCGAGTTAATATAAGCCATAAAAATAAGATTAGTAGCAGAAATTTATCACTGAGTTCTATTTCTAGGCATATTTATAGCACAGTACAATCAGTTAACATGGTAACAAACATGTTAACACAGTAACCAGTTAAAAGTATGCGAAATCTCTTGTGAATTGCAGAACCTTATGTTCCCTATGCATGTAGCTGTTCCTATGATTGAACTAGATGTAATGAGTAGTCATTTTAATTTAGGACTTGGAAATCAGTTTCAACTAATAAAAAAAGTGGATAATAAGTTCGTGCACCTGTCTATACTTTTATTCGAAACGTTCATCTAACAAATACTCGAGGAAACCTACAAAATACAGACAGTAAGTGATGGCTACAAGAGGTCACACAAATTTTAAAGAGTCAGTTCAAGACACCACTTCACATCCTGTATAAAGCTTGAGTTATCAGGAAAAACAAGAAACTGGAAATAAAAAAGGTGAATCAACATGCAGCTGACAATTAATATTTCAGATTTAGAAAAATATCCTCTTCTCAAGATCCACTATCCTCTTAAAGGTATCAGAAAATAATGCTGTCAATTTTCTTTTTAGGATTTCATGTACCTTAGACTTCGCTACCAGTGATGTGATTTCAAAGATTAAAAACGTCCAAAGCAGTTAGTTACTCGTCTGGTAGAAGTGAATAAATTACTTTTGTTATATTTCATTTTATCGCTAAGGAATAACTGTAATCCAGATTACTTGTTTTTCTCACAAACAGTTGTGATAATTCATGCATGTAAACGGCCTTTTTAAAATGGCTTACTGATTGAATCTGCATGAATAATTCACATTTCATGTTCCAGTAATACTTACAGAACTACTAAATAGGTGATGTCCAATAAATTTTAAATTTTCCACATAATGCCTAAGCTTACATGTGCAACAAAATAAAACAATTTTTTTCTTAATTTCCACTAGAACTGACAGCATCAATTCTGCATGCAACTCATTCAGATAACCCTACATGAATTCATGGTATTAGTATTAGATTTTCTGCATTTTAAATATAAAAATCCTTTGAAATATTAAGCTTTTCTATCACGACAAAACTATCAGGGAATTCAGTTATTAATTATTATACTCTATTAGTTCTCCTTGAACCTGCGATGAAGACCTACAAGTTCTTGAGAACTTTGAAGTCAACCAAGTTGAGCGTGAGGCGAGTCTATGACGACAACACTGAGCCATGATGATATTATATATATGTATATATGAATAGGAAAATGTGAACCAATACGTGACAACCTAGAATCTTACATCTTCTATCGCGTTTGCGTGTTGCTGAGAGTTTCAGTCCTCTCAGGCTTTCAACGTTCCCATAACTAAAGTCAATCTAAGATCAAAATTATGTTCATATCAACAAATCTCCATACACAATAGTGGAATTTTCAGTTGCGACGTATTTGTTAGATGACATCAGAAGCTTCGAATATTGCTGATATATTAGTTTAATTAAAGTATTTTATCCAGTGAACCATTATTCATGCATTACTGAAAATATATCCTTAGGAGATAAATAAAATATGTAACTCGAGCTTTAGGTGAAAACATTCTGGTATTTTCTAATGTCTATTGATGACTGTTTTGTCACCTGACTAGATGATAGTATCGGCATTAACTTCGTAACAACATGAAGTTGTGTGTCCCCAACACACTTGGGGTATGACAGCTACTTGCCAGTATTCGGATACATTTGTCTGTCAAGAAGCTGCGAAAAGCTTTTGCACACATCAATAGCCCATTTTCTATTCGACGAAAGCTATGTTATCTTTATTGATGATGCAATCATTTTTCTAACATGTCTATATATATATATATATATATATATATATATATATATTTTAGATTATCAAGGAAGCGATTCTAATGACTTGGGGACGTTTAATCTACGAAGAATTTACTGATGACGTCAGAAAAGCTTGGGCACACGTTTTAGATGAAGTTGTTTCAATTATGACTGAAGGTTGTTTGATATTTGAAGAAGAAGAAGAAAAAATACTTGAGGAAGGTGATGTTTGCAACGACATGGTCGCTTTATCAGATGATCATCAACAAAGTCACAACAAATATAAAAAAACCAGTCGCACAAGTGTTGCCAGCGTGCCGAAAGAAGAATTGGCTCAAATTTATTCAAGTTGCAAATAGAAAGTAATAAGTACTTTTTAATAAAAATCCAAGCTGTTCCTTTCAATAAATTTAACTGCTAACCAGATGACTTTCATCTTATTCAGTAGGAGTAACTTTTGGTCAGCACAGTTCATTCTGAACTTTTAAAAACACTTATCATAATTTTAACACAATAACTTCATCGTATTACCTGTCATTCTTTGTCCAAACACTTTCATGTTTTTCAGTCAGATTAAATGTGAAAAGACCAGTTCGGTTACAACATCTACCAGTCTTGCCATACATTTGTATTTCAATCGAATAATTTGAAGAAAGCCAGAATAAATTGTATCAACATGCTTCCAGATGCTGGTTAGTTATAAGTTAAGCATGAAAGTACTTAGTTTAATAAGTTAAAATGAGAAATGATGTGGTCATTGAGGTAACTGACAATACATCACCTGACTTTCTTACTGTGAACAATAGTTTTTTTAATTAAGGAACTCTGTATAATTTACCTTTTCTGCAAGAAAGTAGTGTGATAAATCACAACACCATTGGAGTAATTAAATTGATCTTTGAAACAACCCGAGAATGGATTATCATCATAAGGTTTTTAAGAACTTTACGTTCATCATACAGTTAAAGAAAAAAGTGACGAATTTGCACAACAGAAGAAATATAAGATAAAATTGAGGCAGAATTAATAGACCTTTATTTGTCTCAAGAAGTATTAGATGTAAAAGTACTCAGGAAAAAAACGAATTAATTTTGATGAGTTCTGTTGTTGTAAGTATTAGTCTCATCGATATAAATTGATTTCCAGTGCTCCCAGGTTTCCTTTGTTCCTCCGACTGATGTCAGTCTACGATGAATAACAACTTGGAATATTTCCAAATCCCCACAACTTCCTCAAAATTTAATATGGAAAACACATAAAAGAAGTAAGCTTCAAGTTGAAAGAAAAAATCCACTCTTCAAAATTCTAGCACAGTTTGAACAGAGGACCTTTTTCCGTATTTCTCAGCATATTGTCAGGTAATAACATCATCACTTTGCTGAAGTAGAATTGTCCATGTATGGATGGAATACTCATGGAAAACACCGTTGAAAATTAGATCTGTGCTAAACAAAGAAGAAATATGTTCCATAAACTACGTAACGAATAACATATATTCATAGCAAGAATTCGAGGATCAGCTGGATTGTTGAACTGCTGAATCATATTTCTTCGTGATCTGTTGGCTGTTAGGTATTCTTGATTCTCAATATAAAGATTTAATTGTGTGTATTGGTTGATGTGATAAGATATTAGAAGGTACTCTTAGATAGTTGTCTAGTGCAACATAATTTGATCCTGAAGCTCAGACAAAAAAGAATCTTGTCAGTAATATATCAAGGTTTGATTAGATTTTTTGATTACACTTTTACTGACTTTATTTATGAGTTAAAGAAAAACGAGTTTTGTAACTACTTACAAAGTAACACCTAACTAAATACAACAAAATGGAGACAGAGAAATCTATTGTACACAAAAGAAAAACATTAGAAACATTAAAAAGTCTACAACATTATCGAACACTTACTGCGTGACACGCTGACTGTTCACTCAAGAGTAACCAAAATCAGGAAAATTCGATGCTAAGTGTTTATGTCATTTCCCCTGAGATGACTTTAAATATATAACAAATATTTGTCTTGGAACAGAACTACTTATTAAATTAAGTGAAAAGTGATATGTAAAAAGATTAAAAACAAGTCACCAAAGTGGTTATAATAACCATGGTTTATTAGAAAGTATCAACTAGATTTGCCGACAACTTGGAACTGACTAGGCTTATGAATGAAGTAGATAAGGATTCTTGTATTTGAAAGCCATGGTGGAAATCTCTTTGCTGACGTTTGTGAAGGCCTCATACATCCATTACTACAGAATGGAAGGCATTACTTCTAAAGACTAGTGGTTGCTGTTAAGTCCTAATGAATTAAGAATGAGGTGTGAGGACAGAAACTGTTCTGTAATATGTCTCTGGATTGTATCGAAACTTGTAATTTATTATTGATATAAGTGAACAGCACAAATAATTATTTTTTGATACAAGTTTGTCTGAATGGAGAACAAGTATTTCAACGAAGAGTCTCTTTTCAGCGATTTCATTTTCAAGACTGTACAATCTCAAATTTATACATTTTTCTAGTGTAAGAATTTGATAGTTAAAAACGGTTTGTCAAGCATGGTAACACAAACAGTGTCAACAAATGACCTGTCATTAAAATAAACAAGGAAACCAAAAACTGACAAGTAGTGTATATTAATCAGAATAAGTGTGAACAAGAAGCTTGGAAACTGAATTATGATCAGGCAGAACATAGCAACAAGAATGAGTAGCAAATTACTTAAGAAGTGAATAGTGTCGAAACAGATAGATGAAAAGAAAAAGGGAGGGGTAGAAGAGACTGAAAACTAAGACCATGAAAAGAGAAGGAGTTGAACACGCTTCTTTTGAGTGCGCACTTCAGGTTTCTCCATTTGAATGGCAATGCAGAGAACATGAAGACATACAGCCTTCGGAAAGTTTCTTTTCACTCTATAGCTGACTTTGAACAAGGGTTCTCACAACACTTCATAGACAAACACATTAAACCTAAACTGCGCAAAGTCAACCTTACCACCATGCCAAACAAGATATTCTTATATGACTCCCAACTTCAAAAATGGTTCTGTCACTGACACTCTTAAAAGGAGGATATCAAACTCTCTAAAGCGAACATTCTTTGCATCAACGCCGAGACTAGTATTCTCTTGTCACTCAGCGATTTCCAACAACTCAAAGGAGAAACTTTTGCATCTGACCACTTCTACGTGCAAATATCCATTCACTTGCTCTTGTGGAGTCAGGTATATAGGTCGTTCAGCGCGACTGTTATCCAAAAGCGTTTAAGAACACTACCCCTCATGGTTACAAAGAGATAACAATGGAGCAATAAGGAGTACTATAATGAAACACATTATGAGCACAAATCACCCTATCTCAAAAACCTCATCCTTCAGAGTCAGCTATAGAGTGAAAAGAAACTTTCCGAAGGCTGTATGTCTTCATGTTCTCTGCATTGCCATTCAAATGGAGAAACCTGAAGTGCGCACTCAAAAGAAGCGTGTTCAACTCCTTCTCTTTTCATGGTCTTAGTTTTCAGTCTCTTCTACCCCTCCCTTTTTCTTTTCATCTATCTGTTTCGACACTATTCACTTCTTAAGTAATTTGCTACTCATTCTTGTTGCTATGTTCTGCCTGATCATAATTCAGTTTCCAAGCTTCTTGTTCACACTTATTCTGATTAATATACACTACTTGTCAGTTTTTGGTTTCCTTGTTTATTTTAATGACAGGTCATTTGTTGACACTGTTTGTGTTACCATGCTTGACAAACCGTTTTTAACTATCAAATTCTTACACTAGAAAAATGTATAAATTTGAGATTGTACAGTCTTGAAAATGAAATCGCTGAAAAGAGACTCTTCGCTGGAACTCTTGTGCTCCCTTCAAATCAGTAATTGGTATATTTCATACAAGTATATTTATTTATGCATTTAGGTTTATTAGCTAGTAAAAAACTCACTAGAAGCATCGAATCATCTGTGAGGTTATGTCAGATATTCACTAAGGAAATGAGTCGAATGAATAAGACACATTTTTAAGTGTTGTGTTTGTTGTTTACTTCGTAGCTATGAAGTTGCCTAAAGTTCTGGCATTTCTTAACGAACACGCTTCTCCTGATCAGGGGAATATTAAGAAACATGTAAGAAAGCTGATGAAGTACATAGTGATAATCCTGTGATGTTCTGCAAGCCAGTAGGTTTATTCTTTCTCAGAAATTATCTTTCTCATCCTGGATCGCTAGTTTTCTCTACTGTCTTCAGTCATATTGTCTTTTTTTTTACAAGTATAATTGGTGACTAAGTCTCCTGTCTCTAAAGCCTCTACTTTGGGAAATACGCAGTCCAAAGTGATCTGAATCATTAAGCAATCACCAGATTGCTCCGAAGTCCTAAGGCACATCACTGTCATTTAGTTCAACAGTATTGTAAGCTTAACATATAAACTTCAGATCTTTATTTTATTGTTTGTAAACCATATTTTCATTTACCAGCAACCTTCCAGATGGCAATTTGATTTCGTACTATCACTTTCCATCTTATGTGTTTGTCAACCAGTAACTTACAGTTAGTATTCATAGACGGTTAATATTTTGAATTTTGGTGTATATCCTTGTGTGGCTCTAAACACAATCTGAGTGACTTCAGGATCAGTATAAACTACCGGTGTTTACTGTCTTGATTTCACACTAATAAAAGTCACGTACGAAATGTTTAGGACTGACCGGTTAGAAATACTGGACAGTTTTTTCACGGATGCATGTGAAAAACTGTCACATGTTTTGACCGACGGTTTATTTTCAGCCTCTGTGCTCTTCAAATTGTTAAAGTAAGTTCCACGCGTCTGAAATACTTATGAAGTAATATCCACCTAAGGTTACAATTCATTATATAAATATTTCAGGTCTAGAAGATAAAATATGGTTGACTTGAAAATACTATTTCTTTTCAATCTAAAACATTAGTAAACTGAATATGAATATAAACTGGTGAATCGCTTCACTATACCGATACTCAGAGATTTACTTATTGAGTGATATAATCAGCAGCAATGCAGAAAACAACATGAATCTCGCATAGTTTATTGTTATAAATACTGAAAAACCAAAAATGGAAGAATTACAGTCGTTTGTTTTGTTGATTGGTTACTAACTTAATGCATGATAAAATGTCTGGATATTTATCAACATACCAGTCATCATAACTTCATCACATTAGAAACGCAGCATCCTGATACAAATATACGCCTGTATTTAGTCGCTTCACTTGTTCTGAAAGATGATATTAAATACTAAGTGCAGAGCGATGAAATTGGTGGCATTGATGTAGGTCTCAGTTATCCCCAATTCAGCTATGTAGAAAAAGGTTTTTGTAAAAGTGCGTAAACTATGTGTTCTTTTGTTTCATTGGTAGTGATAATGCATATCAGCGGGCAAGCAACGCGTGACATACTTCCTTCACGAGGGATAACTTTGAACTGATAGACTCTATATATTTCTAAAAGCTTCAAAAAGAACTTCAGAACAAAGCAACTTTACGCTTCAAAATTTTGTTAGTCTGCAGCGTATTTAAAGTGAGACACTTCGGTAAGCACTTTTTGTGCTTACTGATTTTAAATAATTCGATGTAGGGAAGATAACTCATGTCATGTAACATTGTTGTTTCGCTAATGAAATTTATATTTAAGCTTTTTAATTATACTTGGGTTTAACAGTGGGCACATTGTCAGTACTTTAAAAAACCCTGTTATACTCAAAAACAAAATAATATAACATTTTCGCTTTCTGAAATGTGCTTGTGATGTAGTATTGTGAGTGCAGTATCAGTCAGCAGCACAGAGTACAGTGATATTCTGTTTAGAGATATCATCTGTACATACTTCAAAGTAATGATTCTCACGTCGGATACAGAACTTAAGTTAACAATGGAAAACATGTCCAGGATATTCAAATGAATATGGTTATAGAATGAAGGGTATATATAGAAAGTTTAGACACGATGAAACTTTATCTAATACTATTTTACTTGAGGACAAAGATTTACTTAATAGTGAATGCCAAACAAATGTATGCTTTTTATTAATTACGTCATTCTCCTATTGTTACATCGAGTCAGTAGTATCTTGAAAGGAAAACTCAAATGTTGATACCATACTGTGGCTAATTTGAAGAATCAAGTTAAAAGTCATTATGAAAGTATATCCCACTAGTCTATGATGTCTGTTTGTTTCGATTAAAATTCTACGGTTGTGAAACGGCTTACCCTTTCATATTCAGTTCTCCGAAGGCCATTAGGGTATACATAACTAGAAAGAGTTTTGTACACTTCATAACTGCACTTGATTTGCCAGCTTTATGAAATGGTTCGTAAAATCTTGTGCCATACTTAGTAATTCTGAATCACCAACCATTGGCAATAAATCGATACATCTTCTAGTGGTTGAGTAATTCTTTTACACTAAGCGCTTATTAAACACTTATAAGGTATCTTGTAATTTAAACAAAGATTTACTCTTTACATGAACTATGATCAAGGTTTGATAGAATAGTATCGCAAATATTGGGCGTTAAGTAAAAGGTTGACAGTAGTTATTATTTGTATTTGTATAAGTCACACTGTGTTTTTTCCCTTGAAAATGCTGGGACCAGACTTCTATGCTAGACGTTGGATTGATTTTATTTCAAACATGTTGTGATTTACGCAGGTATAAATTGTATCATATGTTGAAGTTGTATACATTTCGTTTTTGTGTTGAGTACTGTTTTAAGTAAACCTTGGTTGTATGTTAGGTAAAAAATTACGCTTAGCTACATAATATGTCTGTTTTCTGAACTCAGAAGGAATAAAAACCTCATACGTAGCTAAATGGAAAGTTAATACAAATAAGATTTCTGTATTTTATTGTTAGTTTTACATCAGTCTGATCAAAAAAGTGACAGAAATTCAGATAAATTTGTTATTCACAACACAATTATACGCAAACGTCATTTCTTGCTCCTAGGATATGTAAATAGTCATCAAACTCGTGAAGGATAACAAAACTCAATCTGATCGGTATCTAAAAATAAGTGTTTTGTTGACCATTTGTTTACCATAGGCTATTGATTTTCCTTTCACTAGACAAGTATAGAGAGTGCTTAATCGGATGTTTCAAAACTCAGACATAAACAGAAGTAATTCCTCTTCAAACAGTCATCCATGAAATTTTTAAAAAAACATATCGGATTTGGACGTTGAAAAGTGAAGACAAAGGAAAGAAAGTCACGAATGCTGGCTATCCTTATTAAAAAATATTTTCATTCTTTTACTTTGTTAGATGTCATGTATTTCGTTTTCTGAGAATGCAGACTGAATGAAAACCAGCCCTACAAAAAGGAGCAAAATCTGAATGAGTAGCCAACTTTCATCCAATAATAAAGATTTTAGAAAGCAACGCTCATGTGCTGCCCGATTATGTCCATGATATCATACACTGTTTGCCGAATATTTGAATTTAATTATATGGTGTCAATAAAAGAAAACAAATAATTAGTTCATGATTCCATATTTTAAGTTTTCAAATAAAACAAAGATGTGAAGTAAAACTTGAAGGTCGCCTAGCTTGTCGAAGAGCAAACCCCAAAGTTTGAAGAACACTGCATGAATATCACACAGCAATATATTCACCACTTAACAGGTGGCAGTATTTGAAGGGAGGGATAAAACATCCTGTTTCTAAAACTTTCCTTACAAATATTCTACTTGATTGTGAGAAAGATGCATCAAATAACAGTTCAGATCCATCCGTTATATGGACAGAGTATCTATGTTTATCTGAAGTCTGCATCAGAAGCGTGATGTAGGAGAGTTATTTCATTTACCTCACTTATGAAGTTGTTTAAAAGATTATCATGAAACATCTTGGTGACAAAACTTTACGAAAATAGTTGATTTGTAAACTCTGCTTCTGTAGAAAAAAGAGCGTAAAATAAGGAACGATAGAAAATGGCATTTTAGACTCAATCACATATTTGGAAGAAAAAATGAAAAATGTCTCCATTAGTAAATGAACTAAACAAGTGGATTTGTAACATGAGCTAAAAAAACAATGCCATATATGGAGATATATTCGATCTATACAGGAACATTGAATGTTCCGTGTGTAACCTTTTACTTTCGATGAAGTGCGAAATTACCAGCAAGCGCAGGGTGGTATATGACTGAGGGCAAGTTGTTAATGTGATGAAAGTAAATCATATACGTATTTACTCTTTCAATGAAAATAAATATGTTGAGAAAAAATCCAAGTGAATTTTAGTGACTACTTTCCTGATTCATTAACCTGTCCACTAAAGTCGTTTTGATCACAAAGCAGGATAGATAATGAAGCTGAAGTCAAAAACTTTTATCTTAGTGATCAAGCGTGTAAAAGTTGATGTCTATCTTGATTTTTTTTCTCCAGCTGCTGTTGAAGTTTTCAAAAGTAGCAGGAAAAGAAAATAATCAACTTTAGAATACTAAGTAGTTAAGGACTTATGAACTGCCTGAAATTTAATAAAACATTGTTCACATACCATGTATCCTTACATTTTACGTTCCGTATTTACAGTTTATGAAATCTGCAAATTTCGATACTACAGATCAGCAAATTGTCTAATTGGTTGGAGCTTGTTGCTGTCGTGGTTATGACTATTATTATTACTGTTGCTATCAGGAGGAAATAAGTTATTATCTATTATTAACTGATCTGATAAGTGATCAAAATTTAAACGATTGGTGTCGCTTGGATTATCCGTCTCCATAGCATCATACCATGTGTCATTTTCAAAATCATTTCCTACATTTTCAATAAGCATTTGTTCAACGTTATCTTTGATAGTATTTAACTTACTACAGTTTTCCCAACCTTTTATACTAGTCTTTTTTCTTCTGACTTTCTTGATCTGTTTCAACTTAATGAACAATTAGGCCCGTTTTGTATGTGTCTGTATGACAACATAATCTTCATATGGATTCTGCTGTTTTCGGTTAGAACATGCTTCAAGATAACAGCTAAGTAGTGTAGATTTCAGTGGTCTTGCATTTAAATAATCAGACCATATCTTTGAAATTGGGGGGCTACTCTTAAGTGATTATGGACTGTATGGTTTTGAGGAACGAGTTGAGTGTTGTTTTGCCGTGTTCTTTACTCTTCTTTTTATGAGTCGATTATGAAGTTTTACAGATGACGGCTTTTGTGTACACTTCATTAGTTTAGATAATGATATAAATTTTCGTTTTAAAGCATAATTTGATGATGTTTTAAGCTGATGTTAATGGGTAAAATACCTTTCTACTGTTTTCCTATCATCATTTTTAATCCATGGTTTCAATCTTTTCTTCATCCTTGATATCTTTTTGCCTCATAAGATATCTCTATTTTTGGTTGTCGACTTGTTGTACTGATTGTACCAAGACAATGTGCTTTCTTTTTAAATGCATATTATGATTGTCTGTTTCCTTCGGCTTTTTTTCGATTTCTCTTTAAAGATTACTTCACAGGAAGTGCATGCTTGTTTTAAACTTTAGAGATAGATTTCTTCTGGCTTTTTTCTTGTTAACTAACATTTTATCTGTTTTATTCTGCTGGCTTGATAGTTTATGCGTATGTAATGGTCGTTTTGTAATATTGAGACGGTATCTATCATTACTGCAACTATGAATATTTTTTGTTTTATCACAAACTGCTTGTGATTGAGATGATTTACTATTCACGTTAGATAGTGAATCTCTTGTGTTAAACATTCCCGTTTATATTTTATTATCTATTATATTTCTTTATAAGGAATACTAAAATATTGCCAAACACTATAGAACTGACCTAGTCTGCTTTAGTTTGAATTTATCGACCTATTCTACTAAGATGGATGAATTAACGAGAAATTACACTGTAAAGTGTAAAGAATTCAGGTCGTTTTTGTAGAAAAACAGAATAGATTCTTCGCAATCCAGGCAAAATGTCCACTTGATAAATCTCATCAAAGTACGAAAACCAACATTTATTGTACTACAGAACGTCCTTTTATAGATTGCAAGCTTTAGTAAGCAAAAGGTCAACGTTTAATAAAACTATGAATATGCTTTGGTTACGTTTCAAGATGAACACGGTTGACGTCATACTTTGACCATTTATGATACTAAAAATAATTTTAAAAAATAATTCAGTATCCAAGTTATTATTAGGCAAGCTGGTGGAAGTAACATTGTGTACATAAAAATGAGGTCGAAAACCAATTATAGCAATGTATTAAAAAGAAGCTATGACAAGAGATGAAGTGAGTAAAACTCAGTGTATCAACAAGAAATAAATAGGTGGGGTTGATACAATCTGATTAAAACTGATTTTCAAAGCTAATAGTAACCGATTCTTTTTGGATATAGAGACAAATTTAGGGGTATTCAATGATCAGTGACTCACATAAGAAGGATGAAATCTTGAGATATTATGTTTGTAACCGGCTTTAGGGCAAATAATGACACCTAGATTTTAATTTTCATTGTCATCTTACATCTAGTAGAGAAGTGCTAAAAATATGAGTGATGAACAGTTGTTTCGTGCTAGTTTGAGACTTATCAGAAGTGTGCATGTATGACTATGTGATGAATTAGGCTAAGGATCATCATGCTTCATGATTAGCACCATATCATTTAGATGTTAGTTGGTTGGAGTCAATCGGCATGAAGCTCTGGACCTAGGTCTCGTGCTTTTTGGCACTCGTCAGCAAGGCGTATCTGCAACTTCGACAAAAACTGGTGGCCCGCCTGAGATTCAAACCCACGTCACCCAGTGTTGTTGTCAGCGACATTACCACTGAGCTATTCGGGCCGCGATTCATCTCCTGCAGGACAGGCTTACATGTATTGATTGGTCACGGGAGTGCAACGAATTTCCTGTTGTGTTTATGTTGACTACAATACTGGGTGACGTGGGTTCGGATCTCAGGTGGGCCATCAGTTCCGTCGGGGTTGCAGATACGCCTTGCTGATGAGTGCCAAAAAGCACGAAACCTAGGTCCAGGACTTTTTGTCGATTGCCTCCAACCAACTAACATCTACTAATGTGCACCACGATGCTGAGCTTCGTAGCTTGGTTGCCATATTGCAAATATGGTAGATAGAATTCGGTCTGCACTCAGGACTAGACAACATAAAATTGGTTGCACTCCCGTGACTAATCAATAACATATCATTTAGCCACTTTGTTCGGGGCTGTTCAGTTGAGACAAAGTTCAACCACCATCCGATGCCACTGATATGCAACCGTTCTTATTCGAATCTTCGTGTCCGTACCTTCACTACATTAGAAAGAAATGCCTTTTTAGTGTCCCCTAGTTTTCATTAGCTCTACAGCTTACATCGCTTCTTGTGCTTACCGCACTGACTAAAGCTTTCAAACGAAGTTGAAGCAACTATCCAGTGGTTCTTAATTTATATCAGTTCTTAAGATGATTTTAACTGATCACTGCTTTGAAAGCAATCAGTTCCGCAAAGCATTGTCATCTGTCCTATCTATTGTCTAGTGATTTTATTATTTTACTATAGAGGATACGTTATTTCATCAAACAATTTATCTTTTTCCCCGTATAATTGTGCTAACTTGGGAAACTATTTCTAAGCACATACAGTATTTCCTGCATTGCTTCTATAAAGTCTGACTCATATTTGTCAATAGCCAGTTTTTATAAAACGATGAAAATGTCCACTGATAAGCATAGGTCATTTGGTACAAAAATCTTTAACAAATTCATTTACCAGAGTCATACAGTTTTATTTGAAAATATTGAAAAAAAGACAATATTTTAATAATCAGTGCGGTTACATAATTGCTGTGATGATGAAACTAGGACAATAGTCTGATTCTTCAGACAGAAACAAATTATGCAGTAATACGTGATTGATAAAACTAGACTGAAAGGAAAGATCTATTATACTTCTTCTTCACACAGAGATACGACTTTGGTTGGTGAATTACCAGTGTCTCTGCAATGCACACGATGCAAAATTGTTCTTTAAAAATGTAAGATTCGCTTTTTAAAACATTCTGCAAGGTAGACTGCAGTGAACTCGACTGGTCAGAAGTGACCAAGTAATTAAGAAAAAGGCTGATTGAACGAAGAAATATATTCCTTTTCAATTAGGCCTTCATCTTGGGCCGTACACTAATATATAGTTTTACACTTTAATCACATAACCAATCACGTGATAATGTTATAGAAATGATGATGTAACTTATGTGCTAAGCATATTAATATCATGAGAGTTAAGACAAAAACACCAACAGCTCCTAAGAAGCGAATCTTCTTGAAGCTGAAATTCAAGAGCGACACTGCCAGTGAGATCATCATGCAGTGCATAAAAACTGTCTCGCATAAAGCCTTCCTAGTCGCTAAATTATGTCCCATCTTCTACAACCGGACGATTCTGGGTCCAAGAAATAAAGAAAAACTACCTGATTCTGCCACTTTCATGTGCATTTATCAATTCAACTGCTCATATGGTGCTAGTTACGTTGGGCGTACAATGAGGCAATTCTATTGTCAAATTTCTGAGCATTATTCATTATGGTTGAGCAAGGGACAAATAAGAACAACAAACATCTCCATACTTGGACACCTAGTTGACACGGGACACCAAGTGGATATTAGAAAACCCTTCAAAATCATTCTTCAGATTCCAGTTAACTCACAACATCGCTTACTTCACATAGCAGAGGCGATTGCAATCCATTTTTACATACCTGACCTCTGTATTCAAAAGAAGTTTGTTCGACCCCTTTCATTATCATGGCCATCCAAATGAAGTAACTCTAGAATTAATTTATGCACCCCTTTCCCTTCTCGTTTCTGTCAATATTCATTTGTTTTCTTATTATAATTTGTAATCGCTCATTGTGAATGACTGAAATCACTCCATTTACCTAAGAATGGTATGCATCACATTTCCAATTTTAGTAACTGTATTGATTATTTACATCATTACTTCCAAACATCACGTGGTTTGTAATTTGATTAAGTTTTAAAACTATTTAATAATGTACAACCCAAGATGAAGAACTTATTGAAAGGAAACATATTTTTTCGCTCAATCAGTCTTTTTCTAAATGTCTAAATGGGAATACTCAAGTAATTAAGAACCGAACCAGAGATTTCTCTGCATGAATCAATCTAATACCGCATAAGATAATCCTTGGATATCGCGGCGTAGTCCTCACGTTCCGTCGTTAAAATGTTATCCGTATTGCTTAAAATGTTAAGTTGCTGCCTTTTTTATTCTTCGGATAGCAGCCATTAAAAAGGTGGATTTGTACTAATATGGTTATGACAACAGTTCACGGCTGTCAATTTGAAATATGCGAAACTGGTATTTGAAGATGTTAATAAGCTATTTGATTGATTGGCCAGATCCTCAAATTCAGCTCAGAATGCGGTTAGTAAAGCTTACTGAAATTTGTGAAAACTCCGCACCCAAGGGATAATTCTTGAATCTGGTAGTATAGTCAGGTAAAACTAGAATGATTGAAAACACATGTCTCTAGCGTCTTTGGGAAATATGAAGGCATCTATGCGAAACTGACGCTCTCACTTTCAGGAAATTTGAGAATATCCTGAGATCCTAATTAGAGGGTTCGTTCTAGTCTCCATATTCTGGATTGTATTTCGTGTTTTACATTCACAGTATGAAGTTTCAGAAAATGGTGATTTCGACGAATGGTATTTCGAAGTAGACTTTCTCACTACAGTTTTGGCTATCTCGCACGTCGACACACTAGCGACAAAAACCAATTCTCGCATTTTCTACCCCAAGCTTGACACTTTCTAAGATTCGTTTTACTCTAGAACACTTGAAAGTGGGTCAGGATCTTTATCAACTAAAATGCTATAAATTACTTAGTCTGATAATAACCAACGAATAGAAACAGTGACAATGATAG